CAGATGCTGACTACCTCACTACCGAGGCTACCCCGGACACGGAGGTTGCCCCGGGTAGCAACTTCATCTTACCGGTGAGACCCTCGGTAGAGTTGCCCAATAGGCGAACTACACCGTTAATAAGGGTTTTGCCGGGAGGAAGTGACCATCAGAACGTCAACTACCAATCAACCGAGGCTAATTGACCCTCGGACCCTCGGACTTCAACCTTCAAAGTCCGGAACCCACCCTTCACGTGTTACCCAATAGGTAACCAGAGAGGGATTCGGGATTCCTGACCGGACAGAACACCCAGCACATCGCGTAATCACGATCTGCCAGCACAGCCGAGGGTACACCGGGACTTTACCTCGAGTACCGAGGCTGCCTCGACCCTTCAAACCCCGGCGAACATCCTCTCCGAGTTACCCAATAGGTGACGGGAGATGAACCTAGGATTTTCCATCACCGTACCCATTTGCCAGTGCAGCCGAGGGTACAACCCGGACTCTAACTTGAGTACCGAGGCTGCCAATGGACTTAGACTCAGCAACCGAGGCTGAGCTTGGACTCTGATTTTGCAACCGGAGCTGACCCTCGGTCACCGAAACTACCATCGGACTTCAAAACCTTGAAGCTAACCGGATACAGGGTCGGACTCCCGCACAGAGGCCATAACATTATTCGGACCAGAACGTGGTTTACACTGCACAGTGCAGTGTAAACCAAGTCCGTCAACCGTTCAACCCTATGGAGACCAGGCATCAACCGGTCCTTGTTGCCCAATAGGCGACAGGACACAAAATTACGGTTTGCCCGGATCAAACCTCGGATCATCGGACTTCCCCGGAGGATCCACCGATCAATAGACCCAATAGGTCTTATCCTGCACTCAGAGAGGGTACCTTATGGTATTCGCGACTGCGACAGTGCCTCTCCATCAATCTTACCCGATGAACCTCGGCTGGATGTAAGTACGACCTGTCTCACCCGGCTAAGAAGGTTCCAATCAAACTTTTACCGGAGGATCCCGGTCGGAAAGTGTGTTTCACGCCCGTTTCGCACCCGACACCGGAGATCCATGCCCTTTACTTGAAGTCAATAGGGTCGAACCTCCGACCCTCGGTGAATTGAACCGGTACCATTGGGTATCCCGAGAACCGATGCCTCGGACCTAGATGACCGGACTTCCAGTGGACTGGAGCCCCCGTGAGCGGACGAGCTCTAGTCGGAATAAGCACCCGGCCCAAAGCCCCGGACCAAAGACTTTGAGTTTACTTTTCTAATCTCGAAATGATGTTCTCATTTTATTGATCTTTTTTTAACCTGCTCACCAGGAATTGTGATGTTATTTTTACTAGAGAGAGACAGATGGAATAACACTTTATTTTTTTACTTTTTCGCCGTTACGGACACGACCAACAGATGCCTACACCGGTCCAACAACACAACCGACCGACCTTCGGATTTCGGCCGTGAGTTGTATCACCACCACGGGTCCGGAGGAGAACGCGGCACGAGACACCCCCATCATCGGATACCTCCGAGGCGCAGCCACCGACCCCAATAGGGTCGTGTGCGGAGCGGGCACTGGAGCGGTATGAGGCCGGTCCTTCGCAGGGGCTCGGACTCCCGCCCAGGGGCATGTTGGGCCAGTCGCTATGGCAGCCTACGAGTACGCAGCCAGCGACAGTCCCGCTTCCGGTGTGCTGACTCACACCGAGTCGCACTCGCTGTCGAGCGCTAGATCGGCCTTGACTCAGGCAGCTTTCCGTTTTTTGAAACCGTTTTACGTAAGAAAGAAGCCGCATCAGTGGTGTGGTCAACCGCTCTAACAGTACGAAATCGAATGTCCGTATACCACCGTGAAAGTGCCGACTATCCCGAACGCGCTACCCGAATAATCGAAACCTCCACAGTGTGATGACGATTACGGATTACCGCTTTTGCTGCCGGTAGCAGACATTTCATAGTTTGGATTCTGTGAAATTCCTGCAGCCAAAATTCAACAACAGATACCAAGCGAACACGCCGTACGAAAGCGCCGCCAGTGAAAACCGAAAAACATGTCCATTATTACCGAAACCACTCCATCTCTGGCAGCCACCGGATTTAACGTTGACCAGCAAATGTAAAACGTTACAGTTAATCCCGTATTTCCTTTGATTTTATCCACGTCAAGTACATCCTGGGAAAATCCTTAGAAAAGTACCATCTGCCTAAATTTTGTCTGGCCCTGAAAGCCGAATTCCCGCTGTACTAATGCGGCACATCAATAGCGCCGACCAGTGGAATTCCCCAACCAAATGCCGCGCCAGTCGCATGCGTGCACAAAGAGGCCAGCCAGTACAAAACACCGTTTGCAAAAAGCAGTCGCTGTTTAGTTGCCCAGCCAACAATTATTAGTCTATCAGTTAACCACTCTTTGACATCCTTATTACCAGAAAGTAGTTCCGTATTTTTCCGTATTCTCACTCGAAAACGTTGATATTACCTGATCCTATTAAAATTGACCATCAACTGAAGCGTTTTGCCCGCGATTACAGTGGCGAAGAGGTAAAGCAGAGCCCTCGGTATGCCCAGCCATCCCGCCGTGGTCACCCGGCAGCGGCCGGCAGAAGCGCATCTCGCTGGGACTTTCTTCGGCCGACGACCGCCTACGGGGATATTGGCGGCGACATTATGCCGTACTTCTCGCATCCGCGTCACCGACCGATCACCGCTCCCATTCCGTCATCAAGCGCCTCGCTTGACTTGTTTCTGCTGCGGCAGAGCAGGTCATGTTGGGGCCAACTGTCCGCGGAATCAGGTTGCCCAAGTGCAGACAGAACTGTCGGACCTCAAACGCCAGGTGAGTGTGGAAGTGCTCCCAGAAGCCTCCAGTGCTGACAACGAAGCATGCGCCCGCCGCCTTACCGAGATCGATGGCCTTCTGGAGCAGTGCCACGCCGACGTCATGCAAGCCATCCAATCGAAAGCACCAACCGGAGGATACCGTTTCGACCTTGGTGACCAGGTTGTGCTCAACAACGCAGTTGTGCTCAACAGGAACCGCTCCGCGAAGCGGAGCGATTGATGCCAAAAGAGCTGCGATGGCGCTGCCAATACCTGCACTGACTGGGTACAAAAATCGTTTTTTTTTTATAAAGATTTCGCGAGGCTAAACTAATAATTTGCTGAAAGCCGGGCCGCATGTAACCAGTTTTTCAGCTTGTTCCTTTTAGTTCATTACTTATTTGTTTCAGCAAAAACTATAGAAAGGAATCAGATGGATATCGCTCCTTAGCCTAACTGTTATTGGTATCTAGCGTAGATTCTTTGGATAAAGCTTTTATTGTTGTGATAAAAAAAATTCAGGCTATATCCAAGTGTATCCGGTGCATCCAAACTATCTTGTAATATCCCAAAATATCCGTATCCTGCCGGCTGACCTTGGATATGGATATGATATTAGGATATTTTGGATATGGATACACTTTGGATATTGGATATGCAACATCTTTACAGTCCACATGGTCGACGTGAACACGAAACTACGTCCTGGAACCCGATTTGTCGTCTTTGACCGCATGTGCAGCGGAAATCGTGACGAGCAGGCCATCTAAACTTCGGCTGATATTATGAGGGTTGGCACGAAAGTTGCCGTCGCTGAGGACCGTCCGTCTGCCCACCGAGTTCTGAGTGATCCCGGACTTCGACCCAGAGAAGCGCAACACAGTCCGGCTCGGCGATATCGTGGAAGTGGTTCACCAGGAGATCTATTATCAAGTGAACTCTATCAAGGACGGGCCAACGGGAGCGCAGTGTGAATACGCACGGATCCAGCGTGTGCGGCTCAGTGACGGTTTTGTACACGTTGGCATCTCAGGTGCCGTTTACCATTCACCAGCAAAGCGCCCGTATACGCCATCCCGCACCGACCATCCGCCGCGTGGCTTCGGAAAATGCGCCAAATAAAGGGCGCAAACGCGCTTGAAGACCGGCCGAAAAGCCGCATCGAGATGAAGCAGAGACGGGACAAAGCGATATTCCTCGCGGGACCGGACAGCACAGCTCTCCGGAGATATTGGAGAAATGAGCGGACACGCTGCACGAAGAGGACATTAGCTGGGTTATTTTTGCATTTTATTTCGGATTTTTCCAGTTATGCATTTTGCCGCATTTACACTGCAACTAGCAGACCCCGGGCAAATTGCGCGGAATAAATAACGCGATCTTATTATAGCAGAGTTCACAGTTCTCAATAATAGTTTTCTGGAAAATTTGGCCGTTCCTTTCCCTGCAATGACGATCTTAGACCGGAAACTTTATTTCCCAAACGAGGATATAGTTTCTCATGGCTGTCCTTAATCGTTTTTTTGCATATGCAGTAAATTGGCGAAACACAAATCACGCAACAAAAAATCACTTCAGTACGTAATACACTTTCCAAAACACTTAATTAAAAAATATCAGGAAACACAACATTGCGCGTGTAAATACTAACTCTGTCACGTATCTGCCCCGAAGCAACCTTTACCTTTATCGAAGTAAAAGACGAAACAGAGTTTCGTTTACAAAAACGCTACATAGAGTTTCTCCCTGGGAGAAAACAGGCTGTGCAGGTACAGCCTGAGTCGTTTCAGCGTCTGTCCTTGTGACTTGTTTATAGTCATCGCGAATGCTACGCGAACAGGAAACTGCTTTCGCTTGATACTGAAAGGCATACTGAGTTCCGACGCTGTTAAAACCACGCGCGGCAAAAAAACCAGCTGTCCAGCACATTCACCGGTCAACACTTCCGCATCCAGATGATTGTCGTGAATAAATCGCACAACCATTCTGGCTGCGTTGACCAAACCTGCCTTTCCGTTGAAATTCCGTAAAAGCATGACTAATGTGCTCGGCTCAGGAAAAGTCCATGAGGTGGTAGTCCAGCAGGTGTTTAACTGTGAATGAGCTCCGGGGGATAATTAGTGAAATTTTCTTCGTTTTCGCTTTCTGCAGAGTCAACACTGAAGTATAATCGGCCATTTCCAGGCATCAAATCCTTCACAACAATCTTGTTGATTTCAGCACAGTGAGTGCATAGTTTGCTAGCAGTGACACGTCTGCCGGATTTATCGTCTGGCTCTAAATTCACTTCACCAACTCTGCAGGGGATTCTTGATACACACAATCATCCGGCACTTGCAATATTTCGTCTTGCACTACCGGATCACCCTGCAGTCGGCCTTCATCAGTCACAACCAAATTTCAATGCAGTATGAATACAGCTGTATTGTACATATTATCGGTCAAGCAAACACAACTTTCGATAAAATGCTAAAACATACTCGTTTCTAACAGACGATGGTTAACGCAACTCGGTGAAGTCATACAAATGCTCACACTATGAGTCACGACTGTACAGCCGGCGTACTCGTACTTTACCACTAAAGTTCAAATCAGCGCTTATTGACCAAAATATGAGACTTATACCACCTTGTAGTATAAAATCTGTAGTATTTGGATAGATTTTTTGTTTTCCGATAAGTATTACTAATTTTGTGTAATAATCATCTAAACCAAGTATGGGAAAGCGTTCCGTGACGTCTGTGCGCGCACATCAAAGCTGCCGCCCATCGCGCACCTGAGATACGGATCTTCTCTAATACTGATCGCGGATATGCTGCATTGCATGGTTATCAGTTGGCAGATCATATCCGCGGATTCAGTGCGAGCTGAAGTGTTCTGAACAGGATCTGCGTTATTTTGTGGGCATAATTATTTACAGCGGAATTCTCCAGTTGCCTTCGCAGCGGCATTTTTGGACGCGCTCTGCTTTGTTCGATTTCCCAGCAGTGTCTTATCAGATTACGAGGAGCCGTTTCGAAGTAAGTTTTTTTCAAGAGAAATCCGTATTTCTCAGGGGGTTTGGTTAGTATCTCGAAAACTATGAGGAATTCGTACTTCCGGTCCAGCAGAAGAATTGTAGGGAATATTCAGCTCTACTAGAAAAAGTCATTAAATTTTGTAAAGGTTTAGTATTTTAGAACTAGAAGTTATTTCCCCTAGGGGGGAAACTGACAAAAATTTTCGAAATGTTATTTTAAAATTATTTTCATTAAAAACGTTGTTCTAGGAAATCAAAAAGTTTCTGCATCTGGCCGACAACGACCATTTAGTACAGGCGACATTTGGCAAAGGTCAACCCCTTCATGGACATTGTGAAAAAGAAACTCCTGCAGTTTGGCTGGTTTGAAGAGAATCTGAGTGTGGATGGACAGATGATTCCCTACTTCGGACATCATTCCTGCAAAATATTTATGCGTGGGAAGCCTTGTAGATTCGGCTACAAGTTGTGGGTGATTTGTGGCGCTAGCGGTTATCCGTTTTTTTTGGCTATACCGGAAAGGAGGCCGCGGTAACTCTAAAGCCTCTTGGGTCAAGAGTCGTGTTGTCGCTGCTGAGCCATGTCGACAATCCAGAGCTCCACACGGTTTTTTTTGACAATTTTTTTACTCCTTACTTGATGAACTGCGAAAGCTAAAATACAAAGCTACCGGCACTGTGGGTGAGAATCGTTTGCTGAAGTGTCCATTCCCAGATAACAAGAAATTCAAAAAAAACCGCTCGAGGACATTACGTAGGCTACTCCACGAAGGATATTGTAACAGTGAAGTGGCACGATAACACCCCGTTTGCTTGGCTTCTAATTATGACACAGTTTTGCCGCTTGGGAAAGCAAGACGTTGAAGCGCATCGGCAAAGTAGCCAATCGATATCACTCAGCCGAAGATGATCGCCAGCTACAACAGATTCATGGGCGGCGTAGATTTGTGTGATCGATTCATTAGTAATTTCCGACCAATGATGCGGTCCAAAAAGTGGTGGTGGCCATTTTTTGCTAACAGCATTGCCTTGATGACCGTTGCGGCTTGGCGTGTCCACAAAGAAGTTGGCGGAAATCTTACGCAAATTCAGTTTCTGACGGAGCTGGTAGAGGGGCTGCTGCTGTCTGGAACAGAACAGCCCAGTGTCCGAACGGGACCGAGAACGCCGGTGTCCAGCACAGTAAGATTCGACAACATACAGCACATTCCGGAGAAGTGCAAACGTGGTGAATGCAAGCACTGTCGTGGCATTTCAGCGCGACAGAAGTGTGGGAAGTACAATGTTCGGTTGCATAAGTCCTGCTTCCCGCTGTACCATTCGCGTAACTGACGGATAACGTTGCCAGCTCGTTGCTATTTTCAAAATAAAAGTTTTCGGAATTTTGTACCAATTATATTCGTTTGCATTTTCACTCTATTTTTAGGTTTTTTTGTGTAATTTTTTCACTTTTCTATGTTTTTACGCTATGTTGACCACTGGTCAGCCGGATGACCATGACGATAGTGCAGTCATTTCTATCTCGTTCTGACTTGTCGTTTGAGGCAAGGGCAGACCTTATGCAATTTGTCTATCAATTCCTATAAATAGTTGAATTTGACCTGCCAAAGGGCAGGATGCCCATCCCGGTCAGTTTGACAGGCTCTCGCCCTGCTTGACCTATGGTCACAAAAATTTCCAAAAAAATAGTTTTTCTTAATTGATTCATTTTGCTACTAATCACCAATTTTCAAATTGGTATTCTCACTGCTTCTAGTAGCTGACTTTGGTGGGTTAATTCGATTATTCCAGTTACTAAAGTTTTTCCCGGCATTATCAATGCCGGGCAATTATGACTGAAGCATCGAATTGCAAATATCGCGTCGATATCTTTCGAATTACCGCCCGTATTTCAATGCATTTAAAACATAATAACAGGCGGTGAATAATACAATTAAAATAGCATGTGGCGTTCTTCGACGTCAATCGGCTCGTTAGCCGGCTTTTCACGAAGCTTTATATGCAGTTGTGCGACTTCATAATGCAATTCGCGATATCAGACTGCAATGGAGAATATTAAACCGGGAATATTAAACCGAGAATATTAAACCGAGTTAATTTAACTCATCCCGGTCTGATATTCTCCATTCCAGTTCGGTAAGGATATCACTAAATGGCGAACACGACGAGCAGTCGGCTCGGCTAACATTCATAAAATTATCGGCATTAATCGGCTGAATACGGACAATCCGTTCGGCTCTTTTAAAGCTTTAGCGGCGAAGTGCTTACTTTATTAAACTGTGCATGATGCATTGCAGTACCGACGTTTTTAAAGCTATCGGTTTGTGGCGTTGGTGTTTTCCGTTGCATTCCCATGCAGCGCAGGCATAACGCTTACATGGTACAGATGCTACTTCGATCCCCGATCCTCCTATTAGCGTTATATTCTTCTACGCCGATTTTAGATGCAGGGTTTTGTACGGCGTTACGCTGCATTATTCTTTCCCCGATCCTCCTGTCGACAATTGCGCGCACTGCCAGATTCCCTGTACGGCCAGACGGTTTCTATGCGAAGCCAAAAGCAAAGTTTGGAGAAGCGCCGTCACTGTCTACCAGGAAATACCAGCTATGAGGCCCGACATACACCGGAACCGGAGTTCCTGAGCTGATTTCTTATTACCGTCGAACCAATGCCGTCTTAACTACACATCGGAAGGCACCACACACCAGGGATACCTCAGTGAGCGCATGGAGAGTAAAATGTGGCCCCGCGTCAAGACGTCAATCTTGGGAGCAAGCAAGCAACAACATCGTTCATCGACCGCGTCGCACCGTCTAGGACCGTCACTTCACCGCAGGTAGGCCGTTCTGCTGTATGTAGATATCGAGTGGTTCATCTGACCTATTTTTGCCAACAATTTTCCGCAAGGATTATTGCTATTTTTTTGAATTTTTCAGCCGAAAACGGCAGCTGTACGAGCAACCGTCTTTAATTATTTTTCAACGGAATATTAGCGATATTGCTGCTGATTTTTATCAGAATATCGTTAACAAAATCAGCAGCTGCTGGATCCGATCGTCGCAATTTCGCATATCGTTTTCGATATTTTACCGGGATAAATGGATGAATTCACAAGAATTTATCAATTAAATTACGCCGTATTTGTTAGCCGAAACACTGAAACCTTGCTGCCGAGCCAAGAATCCGAATCTAACAGACTGAAATCCAAAAACGTCCCGGCCATGTGCATGTAATGCCAATATCTGTCCGTAGACACTTCACATACGAGGCGAAATAGGAGTCGGTGCGATACCTACGCAGCCCCACTTTCCTGGGCTGTGGCGCCGATCTCCTGGCACCGATGTTGTTTCGAACTGCTACGAGTAGTTTTGCGAGAAGTTCAGGTGTGTTAACGAGATACAGATACTGTACACGTGTATTTCATATAATATATATATAGCTGCCGCTGCAGTGCTGGCGCTGCCGCCGAACTGGCATGCCGGGAGAAGATTGGAAAATACAAGTCGCTTACCGATCGCTGTAATTTTGTCGCCTTTGCATGTGAGACTTTTGGCACTTGGTGTGAGACCGGCATTGTAACGTTAAAGGAGATCGGTAAGAAGTTGTTTTTAAGGACGGGTGAGAGTCGCTCTACTTGTTTTCTGTTTCAGCGTTTAAGTTTGGAGATTATGCGTGGTAATGCAATGAGTGTATTGTGCACGGTCCCTTCCCATGTCAATTGGGACAAATTCTTCATTTGATCATGTTTGTTGAGCGAAGCTCGCCTTGTATATTGAGAAATTAAATTAATATATATATATATATATATATATATATATATATATATATATATATATATATATATATATATATATATATATATATATATATATATATATATATATATATATATATATATATATATATATATATATATATATATATATATATAAACTACCGCTAATGTATTGTAAGCTCTGAGTGTCCGCCGCTTATATTAGTAATGTATGTTCAAAGTATTTATCGGTGATATGATGCCTAAGTCTTATCGTCGTCTGTAATATAAGCTACAAATATGAACGTTCCATTACCTCTGACCCAACAAGTGGACTCCGTTCTTGATCCCTAAACTTTCGTTGACGTAATGCAAGATAACTACGAGATCGCTTCTTATTTTCGCATATGGCGCCATGCCGCCAACTCTTACTTCGGTTACCAACAGAAGGACAGACTGAAACTTTTACGTCTTTGGCTGGCTTAGAGGATCCTCATTAGCTCCAGTCGCATATGTCGGTCAGTAAATTGTCGGGATTCATAACGGAGGTCAGAGAACTGACATGCTACCCCAGGATATATCGTAGCCGGTGACCACGAAAATGCAAGTTGGTGTGCACCGAAATATGGCAGACCGGAGTAGAACTAAATCTAGTTAATGCGCGTTAAAGCGCATACTGATCAAAGCTCAAGCTGCAAAGCTCCTGTATAACCCGCTATGTCAAGGCAGCCATCTACAAGGGCGTAGTGCCGGCTGCTGTGGCACCATAGCGTTACTGTCGTAACGTGGTTCCATAAAAATGTTTGCAACGGACAGCGATCAATCAATGACGAACACTCGATTGATCGCTGAGGTTATCCGAATCCAAAAGCGCAGTCATGAAGGTCACAATTAACTGGCAATGGCCGCCTAGGTCCTCCAGGACAATGAAATGGGAGTTTGCATTAGCAGCTAAATTGCTGACATACATGCAGGAGTGAGATTTCTAAATTACCCTTTGCACAGATTTCAGTATCCGTAGAGAAAGAACTTCTAATACCGGAAACATATGTATGTGCTTGAGTGCCGACCCCCGGATCAGAACAGTCTATTGAACTCAGTCACAAGCGCTGCTTCGTTTCGGGAAGTTGAAGATTGAAGTGGATCTCGTAATGCTTTTACAGGACCACTCTTCGTTGGGAGCTGATCAAGTTACACAGAAAGCTACAAAAACCCATTAGTTTACCCAATGTATTTTCGATTCACAAAGTACCGAAACTCAAAGCATGGAAGTAAGGGCGTAATCGTTATACGAACTCGAGCAAAGTTCAGTTAAGCAAGCAGAGTTGATAAAGTAATAATAATTAACAATCGGTGATGCTTACAGTTTGTGCAAGCGGAACACACCGCAAGAGCCATGTGACTGTATTCGAAATGCTGAACGTTAAAATTCTCGGCAATATTAACAAACCGACATTTCCGTTGACCAACTCATTCTCTATTGGCCGTCCGATTGAAAGCCTCAGAATTTGGAGCGTACTTGTGTAGGACGGGTTTTCGTCCGTTGCTCGCATTGGCTATTAAGTAACAAAAAATAGTCTACAGATACGACTATATTTATACGAACCCTAACAGCAATCCAGCTGAAGAAGCGCGCTTTCAGACCTGCGTGTTGCATATTTACTGAAAATGGTTTTGGTTATAGTTTTATCCTTTTTTTCAGTTTTCTGTGTGGAGAACACGGTTGCGCAGTTGACAACCAGGCAATGCAGCGCAAATGCTTCAGTTGTCAGTTCGCGTTGCTCGTCCACAAATAACGTGATTGCTGTCAGTACTTGTAAGACGTACTGCAACTCCACTACACAAAGCAGTACGACATTATATTCGAAGTTCTGCGCTTCCAGCAGCAGTTGCACTATTGGATCTACGTGCAACATTCAGTCATGCAGCATCACCTTATCTGGGCCAACATCTGTAGATGTACCTTGTGATTACAACAATAACCAAGTCATTGGAGGAGACCTTACGGTACTGTCTGTTTGTTGTTTCATTCATTACAATTTTCAAAAGCAAAAACTTGGTGTGTTCTTTTCCAGATCTCAAATGGTTGTGGCAGTAGCTCTAGTCAATTCGTGGTGGCAGAAGTAATTGCCAGTAACAAAGCAGATGGAACTCACTACGTGGACGTTGATCCTACGACTGGGAAGTGGTACAGGAGCGCAACTTACGTGGTCACACAAAACCTTTCACAAACGTACGAAGTCACAGTTGTTAACCTGCCAAGCGGCCAAGCATCAAATAGCATCAATGTTACGGTACGTGTTACGGTAGCTCTCCAGTTGCGCAACGCTGAAATATTCAGATTTTAGAATAAAAACTAGAGCGAATGCAGTTTAATGGTGTTAGGCTTCTGAACGATAACTATCTAGCCAGATACTGCATGCATGGTATGCCATAATTTAAGGATGGTTTCAGTTCAACTTCGGATCTTGCACGTTTGGATTGATAGGCCCAGATAGTGCTCGCGTTTGTCTTGGTTTCCCACCTGGAACCTCTATTGCCGACCAACAGACTGCTGGGTCAACGGAGCAACGTAGTATATGGCTGTATCCTCAGCTAACATTTTCGGTACGCCTATTTAAAATTAACTCTAGAAGTTGAGCCCTGAAACACTGTCTGGCGCAAACTGCAACACTTTTGCGCCAGGAAACGTCTTTTAAACGGGTCTCTGTAGGCAACTAACGTACCTCCACTGATGCCTGTTATTTTCGATCTGGCAAAAGACGCAGTTCCTGTTGCTGGCTTGGGAACTCCAAATACCGCTAATGGTGGGATATATTCCCCGGATGTTATATCAAATGTGGGCGGAGATTCACAGATTTTTATTAGTAATTATAATATCCTTACTGGTAAACCTAACACCGACACAATCGGAATATACGGACAATCGTACAACGGCAACTTACCGGCTTGCGACGCAGGCGCTACTGTAACTCCAGCAGCTGGTGCACCTGGAAGCGCCGTAACGTCCGGTACGTGTTGTCAGACGTTGCGGTTTTCCGTGTCTCCTGGAGTGCAGAGCACACCGTATCAGACCGGCTACAAAGACGTGCTCGTAAGAAGAGACTTGCTTGTGCTTCAATATATCTTGATTTCCCCTTGTCATTCTACAAAATACACTAATTTTCAGGTCTGCTATGAGGACGTAGGCGGCTGTACGTACACTTAGGATACGAAAACCGGCAAACCTAAACACAAGAAGTCGGGAAGTCTGCCGTAATTTATGATAAACTCTTAAGTTGTTATTTCAAAAACTACTGATCGCCAGATTTTGCGCAGATGCAACTGAAGGCTCTGGCGTTTCTGTCAATAAATGGCACCAAATGTAACTGAAGAGGCGAAAACTTAGTATAAAACGGATTCTCCTTAGTCAAGTATGGAAAACAAGCAAAATTTTACAGAAAGCAGCATTTTCATTAGCCGGGCTTACTAGACGACGCTGCTCAATTGTGAAGCTGTAGAAACCGAACAAAGAAGAAACGGCTCAGTTGATGGAGCAATTTAAATATGAATACAGAGGGTTATTCAGCCAAGTGTGTTCACTTTTTGAAAAATTTATATTTAGTCCCCACAAGATCATATTGCTTTTTTAGATATTTTATCGGATAGCCACAACATTCAGCCGTAATAAAAATATGATTAAGTTTAGATTTCATTACCCTTTGACACAAGAAAAAATTAAATGCCTGACAAGACATGTTGCCAACAGTCGACCAGTTCAGGTACAGCAACTGCCGTGCCTTTGAATAAAAAATCCCTTAAAATTTGGGTTCACAAACTATTCCATCGAAAACGTGTCAGGGGTATTCAGCAAACATTTTTCTGTTGGATCAACTAGTTTTTTTCACGATTGGGAAGCAGGCCCGGTCGGGTCGGCACTGCGTCCCGGGAGCACCATCCTGGTTCGGGATGAAGGTTGCTTCCCCGCCTGGCTGGAGCCACGGAACGTTTTTCGCAAACAATAGACCCTTAAAGCGATCAATAAAGACCTCCGCTACAGCTCTGGTTTGTGGGAGGACGAAAAGGATTGCTGCATTTCGGTGTGTAAGAATTCGCACAACGGGCACGGTTCCCGCGGGTTTATTCCCTTTTTCGCGTTTTTTCCAACCGTTCCTACACACTCAACCGGGAAAGCATTACATCGATTTCCCCATAAAATAATCCGGATCATCGTTTTTTCAAGTTGTAAACGTGTAGATTCAAGAAACTGACTTGCCTTTTGAAACCATCCAAATAAAAGCGAAATTTCGACTGGTCAAGGATTTGAAGTCGAAGTCTTCTGGTCAACAGCCGATAAGGAATGCATATGAAGCTGGATTCTCACCAAAATTTGCAAAAAATAGTCAAACTATTTTGTCGTTTTAGTAAAACGTTTATGGCGAAACTCCAACCAAAAGCCGATTTATAAGAATTTTTTTTCGAAAGTGAACACACTTGGCTGAATAACCCTCTGTACGAAATTGATTTATAGAAGCGTAATACACTTGTATCATACAAAAACTGCAAATAACAGCGTTCTGACTCTATGTATCTACTGTAGACCGTGTCCTAGGAGAGAAAGCACATTAGGCCGCATAGCAGAGTCAGTTCTATCGTTTTATCATTTATGGGATTGTCTGGGCTGTACCGTTTCTGGCATTCCCTTTCGCAAGGGATAGTACGTTGGTCGCCTAATATTCGAAAATTCAATAACCGATTCAATAGGCCGCTTCCATTCCGACAACGATAATTTCGGTCAAAGATTTTCGCCCGCCAGGAGGTTAGTCCAGACTCCAGAGAGTTAGTCGGTAATGTCAGGTCAACACGTAGAGAATTGCTTGCTGCCGTGCCCTCATCCGTAAAGACCACGAGAAATCATCAGTGTGGTAACGGCTTAAGTCTACCTCCAAAACTTCGGTTGCAGCATCCGCTGTGCCATAGCATGACATATTATCATGTTTAGTTAACATCTCGCCTGTGGTAGGTTTAACGCTTTCTGCGGAGGCAAAAACGACTGGAATTCCCATAGCCGAGTAAGCCAGGGTCGGACTTACGTCTGACGCAGGATTCATAGGGTGAATTGATGGGACAGACGGCGTTGCCATCCGCAAGATCCGTAACGGTATCCTCTGAGTAGGGAATAAGACCTATTGGGCCACTTTGGTGGGGAATCATTCGGTAAAGTGCCGGTATTCCGAGGTTTTGGCCAGACAATAACCGTATTTTCGTGTCCGGTTACCTATTGGGCAACATGGACCGGTTGACTTCGGGCTTCTATAGGGTTGGTGGTGAAGTTGAAGTGATACATAGGGACCTTGTTGGGTCCGCTTCGTGAGTTGCGGCGATGTTGCAAGCTTTTCGTTCGGGCAAAACCGTCAGTTTCGTGTCTAGTCGCCTAATTGGGCAATATAGACCGGGTAATACCGTTCTTCTGAACTTCAATCCGAGGTCTTCAGTTGGTTCCGGGATTGCCTCGGTATCCAAGGAATCCAAACCTCGATATCCGAATCAAAGTACGAGAGGCACCCTCGGTTGCACTTGCAGATGGTGGTTTAGCGGTCTGATCGACGCTCTGTCTGGACAAAACCGTTCATCTGGTCCCCTCGTCGCCTATTGGGCAACAGTAACGGGGTTACTGCCGGGTAGATGAGGCTGAATGCGGGGTGACCTCGGTATCTGAGGCATTTATAATATTATTACTCGTATTCTTCCTGGAGCAGACAACCCATTCATGGGACTTCGACAATGACATTACAGGTGTTAAAATGACATTACCTTGTCTGGTTGAAAATCAAAAATGAAAAGAAACAAGAAATATAAAAACATGCTATCCAACTACCACTTCAAGTCCAATGCCTTTAAAACAAACTTAATAAACCCAACAGTTTCCGAGTACAAAATTTCTGCACGTGTTCAGGCAGCTGCTTCAGTCGTAAAGCGAAAGTGAACTCGCCGATCTTCTTCTTCACTTTTATATCCACACGGTTACCAATCCGCAGGTTGTAGTGTTGTCTCACATCACGGAAGTTCACGAGTCGAGACGGAAAATCTGGCACGGGAAATTTGCTTTTGTTCCAGATTCTGAAAGCCACACCGCTTCGCTCTGCTTCCGTCGATGGAGGATGGGAGTGCTTCAAGGTTCCTGATACAAAGTCCGCTTGAATGGGCCTTTGTATGCAGTCATGGCCAGCAATGCTTTGCGTTGTAGTTTAGCCAGTCCTTTCTTCAGTGCCACAGACGCTAACGTCCACACAGTTGAACAATGTGCAGACTGGACGGGAAGCGGCCAGACGGCTTATCACTCTTCCCATGGAGAAATGGCCTCCCTCTGATATGGGATGTAACAGTTTGTGACATTCGCTACTTCGTATATAGCTGGCTGTTCAGAAGCAGCGGGCTCGGCTGCTGAAGACGCGGAAGTGCGGAAGCGGAACCTATATTCCGAACTCACTGATCGGCATTTTTTCCAGCCAGTGGCACTCGAAACTATGGAAGTTGTGAAAGTACCCACCAGTTCATCAATGAAGTCGGCCGGCGTATCAAAGAACAAACGGGAGAAGCGCGCTGTTCATTATTTGTGGCAACGTATAAGTGTGGAAATTCAGCGCGGAAACGCGGCTTCTGTCCTGGGGACGGTCGGGTGTTCTCGAGAGTTAGAAGAGTTATTTTTCTTGTTCTGATTATTGGGTATTTAAAGTTTTAACGTAAATGGCATTGGCTTGTACAAGTTGATAATAAAAAAAAGTTAAACAATAGTCCAAATGTGATTGGATGCAGGCATGATAAAGGCTCCGAAGTTGAGACCAACTTAACCCTTCCTTTGCCCGATTAATCATGGATATCCCGTAGTTTGCATTCTTCTCGACTCTCTCGAGGTGATTGCTCCATTTAAGGTGCTGCTCAATGTCGACTCCTAGGTAACGTATGTAACCGACCAAAACGTCCGGACGACCAAGACGTCCGGCGGAAGTTTTAGTCGTTAAACCGACCAAACCGTCCGGGGGCCGAAAAAACGTCCGCCGTAAATTTTGCCCACTCAAAAATTTTTGCATTCTCGATGTGACCTGAAGTTCCTGAGAGCGTCTCAACCCGGACGCTTTGGTCAGAGCACTATTTTGACCGGACACTTTGGTCGGAGCACTATTTCAGCCCTGACACTTTGGTCGGAGCACTATTTTGACCGGGCACTTTGGTCGGAGCACTATTTCAGCCCGGACACTTTAGTCGGAGCAGTATTTCAGCCCGGGCACTATGGTCGGAGCACTATTTGGAGCCGGACACTTTGGTCGGAGCACTATATCAGCCCGGAAACTTTGGTCGGAGCACTATTTCAGCCCGGACACTTTGGTCGGAGCACTATTTCAGCCCGGACACTTTGGTCGGAGCACTATTTCAGCCCGGGCACTATGGTCAGACACTATTTGGAGCCGGACACTTTGGTCCGAGCACTATATCAGCCCGGAAACTTTGGTCGGAGCACTATTTCAGCCCGGACACTTTGGTCAGGCACTATTTCAGCCCGGACACTTTGGTCGGAGCACTATTTCAGCCCGGACACTTTGGTCGGAGCACTGTTTCAGCCCGGGCACTTTGGTCGGAACAATATTTCAGCCCGGGCACTTTGGTCGGAGCACTATTTCAGCCCGGACACTTTGGTCGGAGCACTATTTGGAGCCGGACACATTGGTCGGAGCACTATTTTAGCCCGGACATTTTGGTCGGAGCACTATTTCAGCCCGGACACTTTGGTCGGAGCACTATTTCAGCCCGGACACTTTGGTCGGAGCACTGTTTCAGCCCGGGCACTTTGGTCGGAACAATAATTCAGCCCGGGCACTTTGGTCGGAGCACTATTTCAGCCCGGACACTTTGGTCGGAGCACTATTTCAGCCCGGGCACTATGGTCGGAGCACTATTTGGAGCCGGACACTTTGGTCGGAGCACTATTTCAGCCCGGGCACTATGGTCGGAGCACTATTTGGAGCCGGACACTTTGGTCGGAGCACTATATCAGCCCGGAAACTTTGGTCGGAGCACTATTTCAGCCCGGACACTTTGGTCGGAGCACTATTTCAGCCCTGACACTTTGGTCGGAGCACTGTTTTAGCCCGGACACTTGGGTCGGAGCACTATTTCGAGCCGGACACATTGGTCGGAGCACTATTTCAGCCCGGACACTTTGGTCGGAGCACTATTTTGACCGGACATTTTGGTCGGAGCACTATATCAGCCCGGGCACTATGGTCGGAGCACTATTTGGAGCCGGACACTTTGGTCGGAGCACTATATCAGCCCGGAAACTTTGGTCGGAGCACTATTTCAGCCCGGACACTTTGGTCGGAGCACTATTTCAGCCCGGACACTTTGATCGGAGCACTATTTCAGCCCGGGCACTATGGTCGGAGCACTATTTGAGCCGGACACTTTGGTCGGAGCACTATATCAGCCCGGAAACTTTGGTCGGAGCACTATTTC